GGTTGTGTAGCCTGTTTAAGTGAGCTAAGGCAAACCGTTTCACCGTATTTAGGACTATTTATAAAGGTTAATGATAGGCGCTTATATAAACAACGCTTTGGAGTTTTTTGCATTTAAAATTATATTCAAATCTGACCTACAAATTTGTCACAGCTTTTTTTAGACTTATAGTTGCATGCTTTATAGAAGGTGAAGCAAGCATCACCAAAGCAAATGACGACTGACTGATAAATTCACTTTTATAAAACGGGGGCAAACGGCCAAGAGAATTACCTAAATTATTTTACACCGTCACCGATGGACGGTCACTCTGCCAGAAAGATTTCAATTGCGTCGTGGGTCATTTGGAATCGAGCAGATATCTTTTCACCATATTTGGGTAATGTACTACAGCGAACATAGCATTTAAATCACTTTGTTTTAATGCATATTTTCTCGAGATATGAAACAATTTCCTTCGGGCGAAATGCATTTACTTGGCTTCTGAGTAAATTGACTGATTGGTTCTTCCTTCCGAGTCTGCCATCTTGGAAATCCTTTAGACTGTAAAAACTTTTTTCATTCAATTATAACATAAATTTAAAGCTTCAGTAGTGATTCTTTAGAGTATTTTTTTTAGGTTTTGTTATAATCATATGCCACAAAAGAATGATATATGACAGGAATTAGCTAGAAAGTACCGGAGACTTGGCTAAATTGTATTAATTTTAATTAAACTTAGCTGACACTTACAAATTCAGTAGGATTACACTCAGTAAATTCTCCTTCTATGGGTTGGTAGGGTTTAAAGGCCGATTATATACTCGCTGAAAAGCATGTTCAATGCAACAAACGTATCCGTGAACACTTCTTTCGAAATTTTATTATGAAAAGCTCGGTAAAAAAAATATGATCTATTCGAAAATGTTTTTTCATAAATAGTAGGGTAGGGCGGGGCTAGTTGAGCAATTTTTCACTTGCTTGGATATAGCTCCTCAATGATAAGTCTCAATGAGTTGTTATGTGTCCTGATGGATTAGTAATTTATCCCTTAACAAAAGTGTCCATAGTATTTTTTTGTAACAAGTCCAATATAATAGCTACAGATGTTTAAATGCAGAAAGTCAAGTATGCTCAATGTACCCCATAGGTGGGGTAAGTTGAGCAAGGGTATGGGGCAAGTTGAGCACTAAGAATGTCTAGGCCAAACCATGGGTTCTATGTTAATTTGAGATGAAATAAAATATGTGTTAGACAGTCAGCTTTTTATTTATAGTCTTTTATTGACAGAACAACAAAATTTAAAGAAATTTTCTTTGTATAATTAACCGAAACTAGAATCAACAAAACATGAGCATCCATATCTATCCATTACTTCCGATAATTTCTAAAAAAAGATTACCGAGGCTGGTGGGTTCTGGTTTCTGTATGGATAGCTACGATTTTTTTGTTTTTAAAACATCATCAACCATTCTTTTCCGGAAATCTTTTTTTGCAATTCAGCTTGGTGGAATTTCAGCACACTCTTAGGCAAGGCGACGGACGTCTTTTGGAGAAAAATGCCATTTGCAGCAAGAATTTTTTCAACAGTTCTCTTGTGAGAGAGGATATACTTCCCTCGGTGTTGTATAGCCCATAAATCATCACCTTCATTTAATTTATTTAAAAGTCAACCAATACCGAATTCTTTAGCGGCGGTATTCACACTTTTTCCCTCATCGTGGACAGCCTTTGCAGCATTATTTAAGTATTCAGTAGTGTAAGAACATCTTGTAGTCTTCCTCTTGTAAGTCCGCATCCAAACAAAAAATATAAGATTCATTACTCATCAGTTGTTTAAGTCGTAGAGTTAGTTGAGCTATAGTTGCTCAACTTACCCCAACCCGGAATTTTAAAAGAAAAGTAGGATTGTAAATAAATGCCTAGAATTAGACCCAAAACCTATTTACAAATCAAAAATACAATAATCCTCTGAAAGATTAACACTCTCCTGATTGAAAACAGAGAACATTTGACAAAGACAGACGAAAACTTGCGATAAACAATGTTTTTACTTTTTGGTCACAAAATAAACAAAACGCCGTGACACTTCACTCACTCGTCGAGCTGCCACTAGCTATCGTGCGATGATTACCTCTCCTACCACTCCTTCTTTTCGCTATTTGATACTCCCGCGTAAGGTGAATAGTTTCCGAGATATTTCGATTGCCCAACTTGCCCCTATGCTCAACTAGCCCCGCTCTACCCTACTTTGGAAAGCGAGAAGCAATGTTATTGAAGTAAATAAAATAATGCTATAAAATTTAGCAAGTTTAAAATAGTGAGCAGCTGTAATCCATGAGTGACGGTAAACGTGTCAGACGCATCGCTTGTGCCAAAAAGAAAATAAATTTTCCGACATTTTAATGTAATTTACTTAACCGCTGAATCATTTCCTTAATCTGGTTTTAAACTTGTCGGGAGTTGCGTGGGCTCTTGTGTCGTTATCTAATACTAGACATTCATTCTAAAATAAATAGATACTAATATCCCACATATAATTATCAAAGTCTGACAATTGTAAAGGAAATGCTACAAGCATTTCGGACACTCTGTTACAGGGACAAAAACATTTCAAATTTATTCGCGTGTTTAGTTTTTTCTTATTATTTACATGTACTTTTTAGTAATATTAATTTTATATCATTGATATCATAAATAAATTTAAAAGGCTTTTAATTTATTTATAAAAATAAGGTTAGGCTGGTCGGCGGTGTACTTCGAATACCGACATCTCCACGAATCGACTGTCTCAAAAAACCTATATTAAACTTCAGATTTAAAGAGAAATGCGATGTTCTCATAAAGAATGAAGTTAATTCAATTTATTATAATATAACATACATGTATGCTATACCGTTCATTTATGTACCTCAATAACATTCGGGTACTTCAATATGTGGACATAACTTGTGTCCTTTCATGGGTGGATCCATGTTGCTCATGACTCCCTGGAGCCTGGACTGTGTCTTGCAATCACTAGCCTTTATGTACATATGAATTAAAACTTTCGTACATACATTTAAAAAAACACACATATGTTAATCTGGACTCCGCACTTTTGTTGGTTTTGAAGAAAGTGGTTAAAGATGAAAGAGCCCGTGAAAGAGACAATATAGATTATTATATTTTACATCACTATATTAAAGAAAAATCGCTAGTGCGCTTTTGCTGTTGTGTTTTTTAAGGGTGAATTAATTATCGTAAACAAATACTATTTTTTACAAAGCATTTCTTACACCTGCATCAGACAACTTCAGTTAGAATCGCTTAAGGTTTAAAAATGCCCGATGGTGATAACACCATCGGGCATTTTTAAATTACAGTTTTTCTCGTTTTTTGCATTTAATCACTGACGCAACCATAGCAAAATTAAATGTAGGACTGCTTAAATCTTAATAGAGTGAAAATATTGCAGTTGCGATGTGTTTTTGATTAATTGAATTTTTTTTAAATTAGATTATGCGTCGTTTAGAATAGCTTGTTACCGCCGCTATGACTTATTTAAGTAACGTATGATACATCAAACAAGGACTATTTTAATTTGGGGCAAACTTTGATAAGGGAACTCAATAATATTATTGCAATAAAGTGATTATAAATAAAATAGACACCCAAAAGTATCTGGTTACAAGTCCGCGTTTTGTGATACTATTTTCATTCAATTAATAGGTTAACCTGACTTAGTATTGGAGTTGCAAACGTTATTTCCGTAAAATATTTTATACCCAAGGCTGCACTCGGAGAATTAGGCGTTTTTAAATGCCCTGACCTGATCCTACTGTGTTCGCTTCCCTATCACCGGCTTCATTTAATATACAGCTACTGGATTTATTATACATTAAGCAAATTGACGTCTAGAGGATTACAAGAGAATATACAATATTCTCTTGTACTTGAATTTTTTTTCTCAATAGCACCTACCACATAGCGGATGAACAGAGAATCCCTCTGTACACAAAGCGATTTTTGTGCGAAAAGTACGTGACAAAAAAATACCGTACATGTTTAATTCCTTTTTGTTTTATTTGATTACGATACATGACCATACTTTATGATATGAAATATAATTAGCCACCTTACTTACTTGATCTATGAGATAGCCTGGATGTCATTTAAATATTTTGCCCGCTAACTATTATTTTAAAATTTTACTTTTAGCTAATTACAATTTTCTTTCACTCCAAACAGATATTTTTTCAAATCATTTATATATATGTTTATTTCATTAATATCTATTATATTGCTTCATAGGATCTCGTTCTACGTTAGTAAATCCCGTAAAGACAAGATACAATTTTATACCAGGTGTGGAAACTGACATATTGTCTCACACCTTTCATTTTATAAACTGGCAGTGACCATGTTTATGACATTTATGGGTTCACAATAGATGATTAATCCTAACTAATCCGCCTCTGTCGTTTAATTAACGAACACCTGCTGAACTCATACATGACGTGAGTCTATTGTGTAACTTAAAAATAGACAAGAGCGCAAATTACGAATTTGAACTGTTATTTAAAATCTCGGCAAAAGCTGGCTCTTTTCCACCCGGTTTTCGAAAGAATATGTTTTAGAATACACTAATCGTGACTTCTATTATGACAAAATGAGTGTCAATTGACAAGTATTTTTCTAATTTTCCACGTCCGAATACATGAAAGTGAGAAATGAAAATTGGCACAACAATTAGCGTGAAAATTTTTGATGAACGGCTGTGTATTGACAGAACATCATTGGCAAACGATAGGAGCGTGCCAATGCTAGCAGCGCTTGCGACAGCCAGGTGGGGTCGAAGGGAGATATATTGAGAGGCTGCCGAAGTTCCTAGGGGACGGCACCAGTCGCAAACGAACGATAGACCAGTTCACACGCTTTTTTAAATAAGGTGGGATTAGTGTCATGATAAGAGTGATTAATTTATAAAGTGAATTGAAAATAATATGCAGTGAATTTTTAGTTTTTAAGATCCAGTCAAGATGTGGGATGACGTTGTAGAAGAAGAAACAAAGGCTGCACCAGCCGCTGATGCAGCCCCAGCTGAGGGTGCAGCACCCACCGAAGGTGCTGCTCCTGCAGAAGGAGCCCCTGCAGATGGTGCTCCTGTAGCTGATACCCCAGCACCTCAGAAGCCTGAAGATGTCAAACCTAAGAGACTTGTCTGTAAACATTGGGTCAGGTAAATGGATTTTTGTTCAGTACGCTTTTAACATTTTAAATTTAAGGCATATTTTTAATTAGATCTATTTCTTGTCACAGGCCGAAGTTTTCCACATACAACTATCTCTACGAATACCAAAAGAATTACTACGATGACCTGATTACCTATATAGATAAGCGTAATAGGGGCCTGCCCGTGGAGAGGCCAAAGCCCCAGACATGGGGTGAACGGGCCCTCCGCTCTTATTACTCCCAAAGCTACAACTACGACGTAGCCAGATCAACAAAACAGGACAGATATCTTCTCCAGCACATTTCTGTTGGAGCAAAGTTCCACCGAGCTCACACCAAGTCCCTTATCTCTAGGAAGTATTCTAACCTCGGGTTTAACACAGTTTCTATCTAGCTTCGCTAATACAACACCGCTTAACGTTGCTTCGCGGACCCTAGTACGATCCTATCGTGACCTTAATATTAATTTTACAGGATTTCGTTATCGTGATTCAACAAGCCGTTAAAAGCGATTCTACATTAAGTTCAAAAAAGTCCGCTATTTCCACTCTGTCAATATCTGTTGATTATGGAGAAGACAATAAATGCTAACTTATAAATGTATTTTTCTTTGCTTGCGTTACGACTGACATAGCTTGTATATTTTTTTATGCGCAGCGATTTTATTGAAAATGCAAAGCGATGTCAGTTGTTTCAGTCAGGAATCTGTATAAGTAAGAAAACAAACAAATACTATAACTTTTATAATAGGGTTACAAACAGCAAAATATTCCGTGGGGCTTTGCTTAGAGCCATTATTTGTATAATAACGACATATACCTTACACCTTAGTCATATTATCAGCGCTAATACTAAAGACAGTAACCCTGGTAATGAATAATTGAGACAAGCCATCTTTGAGCCAAGTTTGCTCTCAATTAAATAATTACTTTTAATTAATTATTGAATTGATGATGTCTGTCAGGTACGAACAGGATTGACTATCTATCATAATGTTAATATGTTTTATTACACAGTATAGTAGGCGTAAGAGTTTTTTAATGTATTAAACGTTTAATAATTTTGCTTAGTGTTTTCAAATATCATTAGTTCGCTGTTGTTTACGACTTGTTTTTAAATATTCACAAAATTATTGTTAATACGATATCAGAATTGTTAATTTGGTAAATAAAACTATTTCAATTGGCCTTTTTCTTTCTAATATAACTTTAAAAAAAAATTTCAGATCATAAATCCATATCACCACAAATATTTCAGAAATGTATTTGCTTAAGTTGCTAAACTGCATTGAACAGTTGAACGTATTAATTATGAAAGTTTATTTTGATGATGATTAAGAGAGCATATTTCGTGCCTCGTTACTATAACAATTAAAAAGCACTTAGATTATATCTTCTTAAATATAACGTGGCCAACATGCTATATGTTTCAATGTCGCGATAACTAAAATAACTTATCTTTGACAGTTCAGTGAATGTAATCGTTTGGATGTTGGCCAAAATGCTAGGCTACCTAGCAGGTACAATCGGCAATCAGCCAAATTGTGCATAATTAAATGTTACAATGACTAAGGGACCCTCGACATAGTTTACAAATATATGGTAAAAATAGAAATCCCGAAGTTTGTTTAGAAACCAATTATATTAATCTATCCTTTAAATTTTGTGTCGTTTATTAAATAATGTGTAACCCATAAATTTACAAAATTTAATAAACATTTATTTATTCCGAAAAAAACATATCCTTTCAAAAAAATCACACACAAAATAAAAGCTTACAGTAAATTAACGAGGGAACACAAGCTATAGAACATTCACAAAATGAAAAAAATATTGAAATTATAATAGGCGCTAACGAATAGTACAACTTTTGTCAGTTCACTCAACGGTCAATAAAAATGTGTAACCTATGTAATTCGTTTACTGACGCAGTACAGAATATAATATGTACCCTTTTTAGAAGGTTAGTCCAAGCTGAGGGCACATGAAGTAACGGCGGACTATGTCGCCTACAGACGTACCCATTAGGCACATTGGAGCACATTGTCCTAGCCATGTAACAATATCTTTATGGCAGTATTAATGTATTCTAATTCATAAAAAAATTTGCCTGATTTACGGGACATATTATTTTTTCCGTTATACTTAGCGCTCAGTCTCATCTCAAAATCTTAACCCGTCCCCTTTTCAGGTGGTTTAGGTTTTGGGAGAAATTTGGCAGAATTTGGATGAACGTGTAATTATTTTTTTTTTGTTATTCTATCACTGAATGAAATATGAAATAAACGATTGTATGTCATTTAATTAAAATATACTAAAATTAGAAGAATGTACCTGTAATTTCATATTCAAGGCACATTTGCAATGAAATAGTATCTCATTACAAAGAAGAAAATTAATTGGCATCATCTATAAGAATGCAATAAATAATAATGATTTATCATGACGTAGGTATTTAGCCGAAAATTAGTGTCAATACACAACAACGCGCATCCATAACAAGTCATTCGTGTGACTTTGATTTTATAATGAACTTAAACACGCGGCATCGTTCGCTATAGTAAGCTTGACAACGTAGTTGTTTTAGCCTCAGGCTCTGTCTTGCAGTTGCCATTTCAAACCCTAAGGGGCAATTAATTTTACTTTCTTATTTTAAAAAACATAGTCAAGAATTGTATATTTTAACTTTATAGGGACTTTATATATAGTGTAAACGTAAACGTAAGTAAACTTTATACATATATACTTATCAATGCGTAATCATATGTAAAATATTGAAAGTTTTAAATTAATTTTAAGGTGAAATCCTGCATAAAGTGAAATAAATGCTATATAGAATATGGGCAAACTATACGGTCTACTGCTCGTGTAAAACCCGCTATAAGATAGATATTATCTTAAATATATAGTCACACGCGAACAGCACACTAGTACATCAAATAAAATAAAAATAAATAAAGGCATACACCCTTTTTAGGTCTGGGCCTCAGATTTCTGTATCTATTTTGTTTGAAACTACCGTATGGTTTGTCCGATGGCTGGCAAATTTTGCTATGCAGAGGACAGCACCATCAACACATCTGGATCTAAAGTGGATGAGAACTCGTCCAACACCGTATGAGCCGTATGAATTCAAAATTTCTTTATCATCACCTTGATGGCTGGAAGTCCTCCATAGTCCGCTTCGCAAGCGAACCGGTGGGGTCTTCCCTATAAGATACGACCTCCAACTGTTCAAAGTAAGAGTGTACTCCTCCCTGAGAGGCCAGCAACGCACGCACTAAAAATGGAAGTCCATTGGCTGCGAAGACTGCCTTTTTTGGGCTATTTCCCCCCCCATATTATTTAAAAAAAGATAAAGCCGACCTCAGAGATGAGAGTTGCACGCTAAAGCCACTAGGCCGACACTGCTTTTACACCCTAGTATATATGAATTAAAAAAGTAAAACAAACTTTTAAATGCACATTACGTAGAAAAATATTCTGTGGTGGAGAAAATGAGCGTTCACATATCCAAAAAATTATATTAGTATTTGTATCATTTTATAAGTCAATGCCACCAAATTCTAGGAAAATATACTCTATTTTATAGGAAACTTTCATACAGCATACGAAAATATCTTATTCTGAAAAACAAAAACTACAATAATATCCAGTTACATAGCTACACTCTTGTAATCAAAATTAAAAATACTTGTTAAATTTTATGAAAATCTAAATATGCTTCGCACTTATCGCTCAACTCGATTGTAACGCGATATTGTATAGCCAACAGCCTTCATGGTTAAATAAACATATACTTTTCAATTCGAACGTCATAATAATTATAACATTAGTATGTATTTCTCTGTTACTTGTTTTAATTGACAGGTACAGTAAATGACATGTTTAGAAATTAGTGCGTCAGACTTTGCTTTAATGTTAGATGATGAATTGAATAGCCGTCTGAGAAGTGTTCTAGAGATTGAAAGGTGTATATCTAATCGGTTGTGAGCGTCAGATGTAAATAACATCTGACGTTCAAAAGAAGGAAATGAAGATTTAGAATATTTTAACGGTAAAGCTTAGGTTTCCTAGAAAAGCGGTGCCGTTATCTAACGGCCGTAATGTAGCGTTGGGTGACGTCACCCATACATTGTCTATAAATAACATCGGAGTAGGTTTCCTAGAGAACGTTGAGTGTCACCGTAACGTCAAATAGCGGTGCTGCCATTTGCATGACGGTCGTCATAGCGTCATAACGGCACCGCTTTTCTAGGAAACCGTAGCTTTAGTTCAACGTTTTTTGCGTGTAGCGGTGCCCATATTTAAATAATACAATGAGTGGAAACGTGACTTGGACGAGTCAAAGTGATTGTTTTTTTGCATTATGTTAAAAAGTAAAGACGGCCGTTATTAACAACCGTAAAATGACGGCCGTTAGTTAACGGCACCGCTTACGGCTCCGCACCGTTTTAGTTTAAGAATCGATAATTTTTGATTTCACTTCATGACCAAATTGTAAAACAAAATCGAATAATAATTTCATTTCATGGTGTATATACCCATTGTTAAAAGGCCGACTATGGGCTTATCACTTGACATCAGATGAGCCTCCAGCCAGTTAGCCGCCTCTTCCGGTAAATCAAAACAAAACTGTTGCTTATTTTTAGTATTAACCATTGTGAACTAGATCCTTACCGACGAATTGGATCAAATATTTCGATTCCCATTTTACTTTAAACCACGGCGTAATCGAGCCTTGTACCAGAATTAAAGAGTTAAAATTAATTGTTACAAAATAGACTGCTACAGAAACTATCGCTAGAGTCCTAATTATTGAGGACTTTATGTCTCTCTGTTTACTGTCCAAAGCCGAAACATTTAGTAAAAAAAGAATGTTTCCAGAAGCCAATAAATAGTATGAATCTGTAAAAAGTGATTTATTTCTCAAGTTAATGGTGCAAGAAGCATCATCAGTGTCCTGTCCTTGGCTATATACTGAGCCGCAGGCTACGTCAATCGTACATTATTCCCGTTAACGAATCAGTATCTGTAAACAAGTTGTATAATATGTCGACGTGACAAAACGTTTATTTTTGAATGTATCCTCATTCTAGGTGATTATTCTCTCGGCCAAAGAAACAATTGTTAACTCTTTCGCCAATTGGAAACAGTCGAGATTGTGTGACAGTTATAAATTGAAATACATAAATATTCTAGTCAGAGTGCTGGGAAGCGCCAAAATGATTGACTGGTACATTCAAGATACGAGTTCTGTGTACCTTCAAATTACGAATCCATGCGTATACCTATTTTGCACATTTCTTCGAGTCTCATTTTTTTGGGCAGTTTAGTTTTATAATTAAAAGGTAATTGTTCTAATTAATATTTATAATTTTGGCTCTTCAGTCAGTATCAGGATTGCAATGAGACTGCAATTATTTTAATGTCAAATTATATTTACGCTGAGATGAAAAGAGATAGATTAAATTAGATTTTACTGATTGAAATAAGAGGTTATTTCTACATATAAAGCTTACGTTTATGAATATGACTATAATTTAATATTAGATAATGTGTAATGTTGCGTAATATACGAAATAAATAACATTATTATTTATTTGGAACACAAATATATAGTATTTAACCGTACCTTATTCTTATAGTAAAAATGTATAAAAGAAAATTAAAACAAATTTAAAAAGTTTGTTCCCTGTGGCACAGTATACCTTTAATGCTGGTAGTAATTCCTCGCTGTATTACGATACTTATTCGTTAAACTAGGAATGCACCACCTCCACTGGGGTCACCAGTTCTATCTACCAGGCGCCAACTTAAATCTTTAATGAGCGCCTTGAACCCCGCGGCCCAAGAGTTTCTACTCTAAAGGGATCATAATCAAAGTTGTAGGAGTAATATTTATATAAAAAATATAAAAGCCCAGTGCGTACCAACTTTAGGGTTTTAAATGAAAAATATTTACTCGTAAATAAAGTAGTAAAACAATGCATAAAATATGAAAATAAAACGCTTAGTGTATAATAATAATGTTCCAGCATAATATTTTAAGCATTCTGTGTTACGGCCAATATTTTATATCAACAATTCAGTTTTACATTAATACGGAAAACGAAACAACACTCGATGGACAAAGTTTTATTAAAAATATTATTAATGGGAAAGGTAAAACTATTTTTAAATCGATTTATAAATACATTTTCAATACAGAATTTCACTAAATGTGTGTCACAAATCTGTGTCATTCATATAAGTATACAAAAACTTTTACTTGATTGCACATACATGCATGAGAGCAACCCAAGTGTTCTCCAAGAACTCGGGTACTTTGTACCAAGGGGATATGTGCGACGACGAAGGCCAAGGTTGTTTGAGATACCAAGAGCCAGAACCAGTCTGTTGCACAGATCCCCGCTAACAATGACGTTGCGCTTACTGAATGCTGACTCCGACACTATCGACATCTTTATGTGTTTGCAGAGTTCAAAGAAGCGATATTATGTGTCTTTTTATATTTCATTTTCGAAATTTTCGTATCGGTTTAGTACTGTAAGAATAGTGTGTGTATTTTTTGTATTTTTAAGTAAATATAGGATTTTATAACATTATCCGGTAGAAAAGAATACGACTCACATACTCATCAATAAAATTATGACGCTTGGATGTAAAACTTGTAGATCCAACTACTTCCAAGGGCGTATTATTCTTCACTGCGCCTTATAAAATCTGCGCTGGAGGCTGTAAAAATGAACAAAACTTTCATATGGTATTTCCACTATATGTAGGAAAATCTGCAAATAAGAGATATAAAGAGATATATTCGAGGGACTATAAGAACATTTATTCAGGCCGCTCTGACGTGCCGTTTAAGAAGTCGACTACCAGGAAAATATGGACGCTACCCTCCGAGTGTCCTAATATTACATCTACAGCTAAGAGTAAAGAGGCCACCTCAGATTATCTTAGTGAAGAATTGGATGTGAAACCTCCTTCCGTCAGACCAGACTGTCCCGTCAGAATAAGTAGAGTTCATTTTGGTAGGACGTCAAAAGTTATGAGTATTTTCAAAAGACATAAACATTAGTTTCTTCAAGGATTTCGTAATTAAAATGTATTAAAAGATACTAATAAAATATTTTATTAATATTGATTATTTATACATCCTTATATTACAATTATTTCTTTTAGGCCCCAATTTTTTTTCCAGCTGTTCGCAACTCTTCTTTCGACTTCTTTGTTTTCGTTGTCGTCTGGAGATATCAGTTAACCGAGGTATATGTATTCTACAACGTAGGAGATTTGGTTCTGTTCCACTATTACAGGGGCTTTGTTGGTCATGATTTTAGTTTTTTCCGGGTTAGCTTCAATCCGGCCTTTGCATTTTCCTTTGCACTATAATTAATTAATAATTAAAATAATTAACTAATATTACAAACTAAAGTGTGTGTCAATAAGTATAGATGTATTAATTTGTTGGTAACCTTAATTAGGTACACACCGGAATAGTGATTCAACTGAAATTAATAATGCTTACAATGCGTAATAAATATCAAAGTCTTTAGATATCCATCCAAATATCTCCTCTCACATGTGAATGAATCATTATTTTCATTCAGATTTTATATTTTAGATTCATATGCTATCAGTGATATTTATCTCTGGTACTTTGGCGAATGTTTCTCTTAGAAGAGGCGTCTCCATGACCACTGAAGGAGTAACAAGAAGCGGTTTTATTCGTAGACATGGAACTAATATGGATTTGAATCATGATCTTCTAGAATGCGAGTGTCCACCAAATAATGGTACATAAAAAATATGTATTTATATTTGTCCTATAAAATTTCGAATAAATTTAAGCGCAAGCTTCGTTTGATAAATTCATGTGGTTTGTGGATTCAAGGGTGGAAATCCATGTGTAGTAAACAAAACTGTTTGTGCTGAATTGTTCGCATAACTAAATAATGTAATGCACCAATAAATTGAACACGGTGTGATAAACCACAAAAATGAAATGGTAGGTAAAACAAGTTCTGCCCAATGGACATCAATTCATATACTAATAAATAGTCTCTTAGTAAATTATTCCGATGCATGTATAATATACCTTCTTTAACGTTTTGTAATTCTAGAGTGCAAGATAGAGTATAAATTAGACGATAATGTCTTACATCTTCAACATCTACGTGGTATAATAGAGGATCATGACCTCCGAAGGTTTTATAAAGAAAACAACGAGTCAATCGTTGTAAGACGAAGACGCAATAGTGGTAATACGTGTTGCTGTCCAATAATAGTAGCAAAAGTACCAGCTTTTATAACGGAAAAAAGGTTTAAGGATGTCATAAAACGATTTGAAAATAATAAAATCTCAGAGTCTAAATGAATAAATTACTTTATTAAATATGCTGTGTAGACGAAAGGCGAAACCATGCGTTTGATTGCATTTAGATCAACGGACAAAATATCAAGCGTGTTGTGAACACTGTTGACCTAGTGGCTTCAGCGTACAACTCTCATCCTTGAGCTCGTAGGTTCGATCCCCGGCTGTGCACAAATGGACCTTCTGTCTGTGTGTGCATTTAACATTCACTCGAACGCTGAAGGAAACCGACTTGCCTTAGACCCATAAAGTCGACGGCATGTGTTAAGCACAGACAGCTGTGATCAGCTGTCTGTGCTTAACAGTAGTAGGTGATCCTACTTGCCTATTGGATTGACAAATTATAATGAAACAGATACAGGAGACCCAGATCGTAGCGCCACTGGTTTTTATTTGGCTACGCGTGTTGGACTAAAAATTTGTAGAAATTACAATCAATCGTGCCGTCTTTTGTTTCTAAGCATTATATATTTAAAAAAATAGTTGCACATCAATTTGATTTGCCATTAAAAGCTCAAGTCATTGTACTGCAAAGACATTTTTTTTATTATTTGTAAATATTCACTTGTCTGATAAATGTCTTCCCATAACGTTGTTTCCATTGCATAAAGCTTAACCAGTATTTCCGTTTGTAATACTCGCTGGAATTCAAAATACTAAAATGCTCCTGGAGAATCTTTTTAATAAGTTATTAAACTCGAGATGTACTACTCGAGGTTTACACTCATCAACAAGCACTGCATCCATTAAATTTATTTCTGTTTAAATATTTTATTAACAAATTTAAGTAGTACTTAACTAAGAGCGTCAAATTAGCTTGAGGAGAGAACAGTTTCATACTTTGAATTCGGAACATCCACCTAAGTACTTAGTCATCAAACTCAAGTCTTCTCCTTCTAAGACTTTTTCAGATACTTATGACAGCCTAATAAAGAGTAACAAACTCTCTCCTTATAATATAAAAACAAATTTTGACGACTCATTGGTCTAGTGGTTAGTACCCCTGACTGCGAATCCATGGGTTCCGGGTTCGATCCCCGGCTGAGACGAACATCGATGTGATGAGCGTTTGGTGTTGTGCTTAGGTCTTGGGTGTTTAAATATGTATTTATATGTATATCTATCTATGTATGTATATCCGTTGCCTAGTACCCATAACACAAGCTTCACCAGCTTAGCATGGGACTAGGTCAATTGGTGTGAATTGTCTTTAAAAAAAAAAAATAAGCACTATACGAAAACAGTACCAAATGTACCAGCATTAGTTGCGAAACTAAGCCATTTAATTTCCCTTTATGCTGCACCTCATTTAAGAAAAGAACGAACCAATTTTTAAAACAGTATTGGGACAGCCTGTTCTATAAAAAACGCCAAAACCTCGATTGTGTGCCGTGTATAGAGTTGAATATGGGTTCAAAGTTCTTTTCGTGCATTGTACAGAATTTAACATTTCATGCGAGTTTTATGTAAAAAATTCAAGCATCGTCAAAAGGAACGTACACGAGAATACATTTTATGGACAAGTAACTCGTATTTACATACATTTCCAGAAATTTTACCACTAGAACGTTAAGGATGAAATGCAATAACGACATTGCACAGAGATACAGACGTGACATTTAATGAACATTGCTAGAAAACTATTTTAATAAAAGTGAATACAAATTGATTCAACTTAGCTCAGTGGGTTAGTTGTATACTGAAGAATGTTTATAGAAATACCATCTAAGTAGATTCATGACAATATTAACAGAATGATTGGGATCAGTCTACAATTCCGAAAACAAACTAATTTCTTAATTATTATTATTAATCTATATTTCAACCGAAGTGTTCATTTCTCTTTCTAAAATTGTGATTACAAAAAAATCATAAGTATGAAAATTGAAATATGCAGTAAACTATGTCTTGGAAAGGAAAATGCGCTCATCATCACCACATGGCAATGGTGATGATTTAAACTTGATGAGAATATTTTTTTTCTAAATCAGCGTTGTTAAGTAATCTTTCATTTGAAACATTGTTATTTTTTAAAGAGTTTCTAAAGAGTTGTTCGTTAAGTCTGAAAGTAACTAATCGATTCTATCGAAATAATTATCAGGTCCGAAGGCATGCACAAAGAATCATCAACCTACTTCTCATTATTGCTTCATACGTCTACAAACTATTACTAGAGTTTGAAAAATGTTTTGAAGTAACCCAAAACAAATTGCTGCTTCAACAAATCTTTATCGTATGACATGCATATTTTGTGCCTACCACTCGAAACATTATGCCCGCCTTCGACTGCGTAAGTGTTGAGAGAGAAATAGCTTACCGGCGGAACGGAGTTAGAACGCTGGGTGTCGAAACTAGGAAGCCAAGACGATGATAAAGTAGTCTATGACTACAAAATAGAATCAGTCTAAATAGAACTTTGTACTATATCTATTGATATTGAGAAAGGGTTGAATGTCTACGCCGAAGAGTAAAACTAATGATGGTAATTCATAATAGATAGACCTTTGGTAGAACTATGATTATTAGGGCTAATTTTATTTATATGGTTAATACAGGAAGTAAGTGAACAATAGCCACGTATCTGATAAAACATGGAAATTTTAATAGCAAATAAAACTTATATTTATATTGTTCGTGTGTTACTCAAAATATTACCTCAAACGCAATTGTTTTGATATAAAAACATTCGAATGAAAATGAATTTTATTTTACGATGCGCTGTGTTATTTTGTATGATCAGAGAAAGTATAAACACAGGGAAAGACTCTAAAGGTAAATATTGATTAACAAAGCTAGGTTAAAAAAAGTTAGTGAATCGAATTATGTTCAAAGTCAAAACAAAAGAGAAGGTATATAGTTAGATTCTTTTAAACATAGCTCCTTCATCCATGATTGCGGTGACGAAATATTCGGCTGCAAATTAATTGTGTACTTAAAAGTATATTAGAAATTTGTTTAATAATAACTAGCTTATTTATATGCCAGATACATATATATAAAATCTTTGTATATTACTACAGGTTGTCAGTGCTAGAAAATTATATACTCGTATTGATGTTCGTTACATTAATATATATATTTTTTTATAGAAGTGTATGTATGTAGCGAAATATTATTTGTTGGAAAGATATGAGAATTTTATTTGTAATACTAATAAACAACATATTTTCAGTCCTTCGTATTCTTTATAATTCTGCTAAATGGTATCCTTTGAGACAAAAGAATTTTATAGTCCTAATTATATTCAATCGACATATTTGTGAAATAATTTTATAAAATATTCTTTGTGAATTATTGTTTAATTATAAACATGATAACACTATTTCTACTTCATAATAAAATTATGAAAAATGTTTTTCAGGTTTTATATCAAAACTACACAAAATGTTTTTAAAATGTAGATTAAAATAACTCTAATTATTTTAATTTCAGAAGATTGCACTAATAGGCCGCCGATGATTCTTGTTCCTGTATTCATTAAACTATACAGATACCCACAGTTGTTGAATAGAAAAAACGAACGGGTATCCAAACGAAACCATATTTAAATTACTTTTGGATAAAATTATATTATAAAGATTTAAGGAAATTGCTCATTAAAATTATTTAGAAAATAAAGTGCTTCAGAGAGATTACTTTCCTTTTAACCGTAAATTACGCGTTATAATTCTTAGTTAGTAAGCAGCCTCAAAAAATGTATTTCAGACTCAGTAGGTGTGCAATTTTGTGCCTAGAGGTCCAATTAAAATAAAATCAAGTAAACTCTTATTTACCTCAAAGTGACTCATAATATATGACACCTATCTCAAAGTATTTTTTCTATGTCCTTTTGATTAAAATTTTGCTAATCCGCTCGTCGTTGATTTTTATCCAGACTAAGTGCGCGAAGGTTTTACGTGAAATTCAAAATAAGTAAATTATTTTTTAAATAGCGGATTGTGTTAAAAAGTTTTTACTACATAGTTTTTTACTTTAAAAAAAAATATTTCTACTATATCTGTGTGGTAAACACATGAATTCTTTAAGTATTTTACAGGATATATATAACAAATGGGAGGAGCTTGTGTTACTGTTACACAGGGTTAAAATGCTTTACAACATGAACGGTATGTACCCTAAGTATGCAACAAAGTATAAACCAAAACTTTACTCAACTAAAAGCCCAAAACTCCTTTTATTTTTGAAAATAGATTGTGAACCCGGGATGAGGTAAATTAAAATCTGAAAATAGCATTCCATCTATACGAAATGGTGAAGTATAAAATATAGTATAATTTAATGATATATAAATTTATTAAAAAATATAGTGATATTCACTTACTAAATAAACTAAAAATATACTCTAGGACCGCCCTAGAGTAAAAAAGTTCCACCCATACATCTACTGATAATACTCAACGATTAAACGTTCATAAAGTCACAACTTGCACGAATACGCTTTGTGTTACTTTAGCGGAAGGTAATTTAAATCTAAGTTAATATCGTTGAAAAAATTATAAATATTTCCCTTCTATCTCTTGTCACTTTCTTCTATAACCCTTTTGTTACAGATCTTTATCGTTAAACGGTTCTTCTTCTATCCCTCGAGTTCCATAAATGGTTGAATTTATTGTAATAATTCTCTAAAACTGTAAACTAAATTCATCTTATATTTCAGTATGTTCGTAAAAATCATCACGTTGCTGTGGCTTTTAAAAATAAAACGCGCCTCAATTGCTGGCGTGACATACATGGATGATTTTGATTTCGAACAGAGGTACAGAAACTTGCACGAGTGTGACCCATTTTATTGGCATCCGTTGCATTTGCCAGAAGAATGTGCGGATATGTTCGCAAAATTGATACGCTCGAGAATAAAGACACCCTACCGTATTGTCACCGAAAAGGAACCTTTTATAGAATACGAGCGGTTTTACAATTCCCAATTTGATTATAATACTCTACCAGTCGGACACGATTCTCTACCAGACGATTACGGTGTGGTATATCCTATGGAAACTGTGCAACTTTATAAGAGACCGCGAAATCCAATGGATAAATTATTGGATATGCTTAAGCGGGATGTACAAAATATACCAAGTGCTGCTAGAATAGCCACTATACCCTACTTTGGCGGTGTTGCATTGTACAAGCAGCCTGTATCCTGGAAGACTGAGGCTATGATCAAGCAGCTATCGCAAGCGTATGCGAAAGCAGCTTATAATAAATAGTATAATCATACATTAACTATATAATAATAAAATTTGATAAAATAGACTTGACTGTAATTTATATATATATATACGTTTCGGTGTAATTTCTTTTTAATAAATATTCTGGTGTATATTTTGTTTTTAATTATATTTCGCTATTTTGATGTTCCTTGAAATTCAAAACCAATAAATTCTAACGATTAATATATTATCACATTTGTTTTTCTAATTTGTCTGTCTATATTGTATATCCTCAAATCCAAATTAATAAACTAGGTTAGACTTAAATTACTTATTAGTCTTAAGCTAGGCTAGATTGTAATGTTCCATGATGTCTTAGTGAAGACTCATGTACAAAAAAAAGTACTATATCGTCACGTAATATAAATTACCGAAGTACTGTGCTATTTAGTTTTTAATTTTTTTTTTATTAATGATTAACGTCATATTAGGTCTAATGCATACTGTATATGTCTGAAATCTCAAAACAGCGCTGATATCAGAAGTAACAAAGTCAACACGCTTACTAACGACTGAATCAATCGAAATTTATTCATCGTCAACACTTAATTCATATTCTTTAAATTATATAATATTCGACTCTCAATGCCAGAGGGCTCGCGAGTGCGTTACCAGGCTTTAAAGACCCTTATTGATACGCTCTTTTCTTTAAGGACCCTTAGAAATAGTTCAGAAATAGTACCATATCAACATATAATAATAAACCACCAGGTCTCAACTTAGATTTACTCACTACCGGTAAGAATATTAGAATCGAAAACATGATCAAATCAAACCATTACAGAGAGTCAGCACGTGGTCCTAGCTTAAAATAAATGTTTAAGCAGCTTCATTTCCATGGTTATCCATCAAAATAGAAATAAAGCCAAAAAAATGCGTATTTTCTCCTCCTATTGTTCGCTGAAAACAATGACCAACCTTATTGTACATACAAAAACGTCCTACCATTGTTAAGAAGGACACAGTGAGAAATTTCAGTTAAAAATTACAGCCTCGATCAAACTTCGTCCAATTCATTCAGAGCAACATGTTTCTTATATTCAAGGTGCTTTTTATTTAATTTTTTATTTGGCAATGTATGTACTTGAGGTCGCAAACAAGCTCGTAAATTTAAAAAAATATTCAAAGACTAAAAATTTATGTTTTTTTTAATGTGTCTACGCATTAAAAGGAAAGTAAAGGGAGCAAATATCTTGTTTTCAATAATTTATAACGAAACACTCGACGAAACAATGATCTGCGCTGCGATTCTGTAACTCACTTTTCGAACTCACACAGCGGTTTTCGCATCGGCGGTCGCTCTCAAATCAGTCGTGAAGCAGTCATTTTATGATTTGGCATTCTGAAAAGGTGGGAGCTTGTAGTTTATTGTTTATCAGAATGCCAAATACAGTTTACGTTGCATGTTGTAACCGTTTTTGCAATCAAATTTACTTAAACATAATAATAATTTGATTTAATGAAGCTGTTAATCATTGATTAGAAAACTGTAATAAGAATTGTGCTTCGTTGTAGCTGGGCTAATTGCTTATTTTAATTAATATTGAATGTAGAAAATAACTTGTACCGTTACATTCAGCGCCTTTTAATTAAAGTCTTGGGAGATTTTTAATAATTCAATTTTAAATGGTAGTACTTTAAAGGTTATAATTAAACGCAAATAGCAGTCATAAAACTCTAACCAAAAATCATGTAAACCAGAGGCAATATGATAGTTTTTCTTTGTTTAAATAACATTGTTTAATGACTTTAATACATTACAGGTAATAATCATATCATTTCTGAACTCTCTTACTGAAGGATCCATTGATGGAAAGAGCTACTTGGATTCGTTAGCCATGAAGAATTTTAAAGAAAAACCTGGTGAAGACCCCTGCAATCCTCTTTATTGGTATCCGAGACACATTCCAGAGTATTGTCAATACCGAGCCCCAAATAAACCCGATATAAAACTTCCTATTCAGGTACCTCTGCCCGTACCTTTGCCTCTTGTGCCTCCCATGCCTGTTCCGTTGCCCATTCCCCCTTTGCCTTACGGTGTACCTATAGTGCCTAGTAATCCAATGATCCCCATTGTTCCAAATCTATACTACCCACCGATTTCAAGCCATTCCGCTCCATTCTATCCGCAGCCTCAAGCTGCAATGGTACCTGGTATTTCTGGAATAGTTTCAAGAGATGGAGGTATAAACATACTACCATTCTCCGACGCCTATGCTGACATGTTGGAAAAACACAAAAACAACATGATAAGGCGAAAATTAGAAAGATTACTAGACCGATTTGACGAATATCCAAACCGTGGAACATATAGACGATTGAAAAAATACAGGCAAGCACTATATTATGATTAAAAAAAACTAAAAGTATTGTTTAATTTTACGTTTAATTTCATAAACAGTTACAAAATGTTCGTGGGGCAGGAATGTAAATGATGCGTTTCGTCTTTTTTTTTTACATTCTCGCCCCCGAGGCCTATAAGTACAAGATTATGAAGTATTTAAGTTTAAATGTAATGAGTTATGACTAATAAAAATCTATATGACAGATTATATTTCGGTTTTCTATGAAAGCCTGCTAAAACCTTACATATTAACTAGTATTTAAGCAATTAAAAACAAATTTAAATTAACTTATATCTAAAGTTACAATTCTTATCTCTCCAGATTTTTTATTAATTAATCTTAAACTAATGGACGGATTTTCTGAGGGCTCCATAAATATACATCTTATTCAAACTAGTTTTTAATCTACTCTAAATAAAGTACGTACTACGTAAGAAGTAATTCGGTGACATAAAATACAAATCGATTAAAAAAATTATACTAATGTGTGTTTTTATATAAACATTTATCAAGAACATTAAAATAATCTTAAAAATATCTCAATCATCAAAATAAACAAAACGAAATAAAATAATTAAACCCTCTGACCAATAGACGCCTCTTTAGTTGAAGATTAAACAGTATTTAAATATGTTTCACTAATAAGCCGAAATCAGCGTTGAGACAGGTTTATAGGTGTAAAATTTTAAATAACCTATTGAGTGACAAAATGGCGGATGTTTATGATCAATCAAACATTAAGACTAATTATTTTTTACATTGACGTAAAATGATTACTGATACAATTAATGAATTTATGATTAAAAATATAGTAAGTTATTGTTGAGTTGATCAGAAATTTGGATCAATGGTTAATTTGAAGTATTTTTTTTTTTAAAGACAATTCACACCAACTACAACGGATATACATACATATTATAGATAGATAGACATATAAATACATATTTAAACACCCAAGACCCAAGCACAACACCAAATGCTTATCACATCGATGTTCGTCTCAGACGGGGAACGAACCCGGGACCCATGGATTCGCGGTCAGGGGTACTAACCACTAGACCAATGAGTCGTCTAAATAACTAGTTAAATATTTTTATTGGTTAGAGGGTTTCGATACGGGAGTCATATTTAATCACATATACACAACACACTATAAACATAATATACTGCACTATATTAACTATTACATTGTATGTTCTTATTTGAAACATGTGCATTTTAGTTAAAACAGTGTAATTTTATAAGTAATTTCTTTAGTTTTTTATGAATGATGGTGTTATAAAATCTAAATGATTTAATATAATATCCTTAATTATTAAGTACCATATTGCCATGGAGTGTATACTACTAACTATAATACCCTTATTACTAAGTTACTGTTCTAAATAATCCTTATATTCGCATCCAAAACAACGCCGCTAGTACCTAATACATTTTTTAAATAAATTCATGTGTCTGAGTGTGTTACAACAAAAACAATAGAAAATATAAGTAGGCCTACGCTACAATTTATTGATACATCATAAAAGTCTAAAATGTGTAAAACCTTTCTCTCCTCTGATGTTGAAGTGAAACATTTAGAATGGTTGAAAATACTATCGTTAATACTTCATAAAAATATTTTATTTGCTCATTATTTAGTTCACAATAAAAGTGTTTGAGACAAAGCTTTGACCTTTTTGACTGAACTTGGTCTGTTTATTTAATATGGAGGTTAGATATGTATCAAATTGTTCTTTGGCTTGTATATAGTAATATACAATTTCTACATATAAAACACGAATCGTAAATATTTCGCTAGAAAACTGCTATCAAATCCAGAATTAATCGTTGTATTTCAGCCTATGTAACATATATAACGTCTACCAAGTTTTAAATACGGGGTACTTTAACGAAGATGCTACAATCTTAATATATATAAATCTCGTGTCACAATGTTTGTCCTCAATGGACTCCTAAACTACCGAACCGATATCAATTAAATTTGCACACCATGTGCAGTTCGATCCAACTTGAGAGATAGGATAGTTTAAATCTCAAATTATAGTCGCAATTTTAATGTATTGCAAAATATTTGTTTATTATTTGATACAATTCTAACAGATAGCGCTGTGTTAAAATTATCAACGTTTCACATACGCTGTCATCTACCTTTCACATAAGTTCTCCTACCGTTTCCCTTGAATAGTCTACTACTATGTAATATAACAAAAATCTTAGCCAGAGCAACGCTTGGCTGTCTACTAGTATATTATAATGATCAACATTAGACTGCCTTTTCTACAGTAGATTACCATTAGCATAACGATAAGAAAAACATTGTATAAAGTCAAACAAATGAATAAAGTCTATAAACACATAAAGTGCCTCATTTCCGACAAATTTAATTACTTGATTGCATTTCCAGTGATGCGTTATATTTTTGTGTGTAAAAGTAATTTACTCCGCAATGCTAGCCACGACGAAGCCATCCAATCGGCAACTGTACCAAATTTAATTTAAAACCACCACATTAAAATCGAATATACTGAGGGCAATCGATACATTTACTTACATAAATTTTGTTTTAAATTACGAGCTTACTCGATTATATAACGATCGTTCCAAACGCATATTATGTATAAAGAACGGCAGAAGGAAGCATATATTGCTACTTCCGAAGAAATTGTAACGATGAATTATTAAAAATTCTCAAAGTCCGGTTTGGATATTGTTAATTGAAAGTATACTTCACATTTACTTTTATGAACAAGCTAGAATTTAATAATAAACCCTTGATATTAAGAGAATTTCTCAAATTTTGTAGCTGTACTCCATAGGATTCAGAAACAAGACATAGTGCGAACTTCGGTATGTCAAAATCCAATCCGTTTAGCACAAAGTCTCGTTTCTGAATGTCATCCTACATCATTTTTGTTTTTAATTGCGCAGTAATATAGTATAACTGTTATATAAACCATTCTAAAGAAAACTTAGAAATAGGTGCGCGTCAGATTTATGCAGAAAAATATATAAATAATTTTAAAAATGTACAGTTTTTTAAATGCAAGTGCAACCGTAGCAACTAGCCTTTGGCAGTTATCGCATACTTTGCTGTAGGAAAAGGTCAGAGATAATTGAAATAATGTTTTTATAATACCTTTGTGATTACTGTCTACTCAGGGTTAAAACCAATTTGAGCTTTATTCTTTAGACGGGTGATATTACAAAGGACTTAAGGAAGCAATTTTCCAGATACAAAGTTATATTAGGTATAAGTTATTATTAAGAAAAAAAAGTTAGTAGTTTCAACAATGATTTTGACACAATATTAAAGATTTGTCTCAAACACTTACTATAAAATAGGACTCCGTCTAATATTTGTAATGGTTAAGATAGTGTTAGCAGATATATATTAAACAGGTACTCTTTAAGTTTCATCACCGATTCCGACTTTATTTTAGAGCTTTACCGCGAAATCTAGTCTAATTGAGAGAACTTCATCAAAATTCGGTACTAAGGCTCAAATTTGAAGTCAGAATCGCTGTCACTACTGAAAAGCGTACCTGTACTATTTCATCGCCTACTTACTAAAGATTGATCTTTTTAAAAAAAATATATATTGATTATCAAAAGTTCTAAATGATTAACATAGTTAAGACTTATCATTTATTTTTTAAATATAATTGTGATGATTGTAGTGTTTGGATACTTACTTGTATATATTTTTGAGCTATTTTATATCTCTCGTGCCTAGTTCCTAAACGTCGAAATACGTTTTTCTACCTACCAAAGTGGACTTATTCTTAAGAAACTTAGAAAGCTAATAAAATGTAATTGAACTTACACTATTGGAATGTTTCGTATGGACGGTTCGTATTAAAACCTTAAAAAATATTAATTAAAACTTATGCGATCCTAAAAAATAACTAAAGAACATTTATTTATTTGCTTGATGACATAGTGTTATAACATGTCTCCAGTTGAATTAGAAATAGGGGTAGAAATAAATTTTCGAGTGAAACTTAAACCGAATAATCCTCTGTACTTGAAAATATGATGATAAGTTAACATTGATACACCTATACATATATAGGTGTATATATAGGTGTATCAATGTTAACATAGTATAACAGACCATACCTATATCAAGCAAATAAATCAAAATTCGGGCCAAATCGAAGTTACAATTATATCAAAATCATATAGCATTTGAATAATCTTAACCTAAGCGAAACTTTGTTATCGAATTTCTCATTGATATAAAACCAATTTATCTAATATTATATTTGAAAAAATATCAGAACCAAAATTAAAATACATTTATGATCAACGACTTCAATAAATTTCTGTTTTAAAAAATACTGCGTCATTAAAATATATAGAACCCTAAAATAACTATGTATCTTATAATATTTTGATTATATCATAACATAATTACATTTTTAACCCGGCCCGAATGTAAACCAATTTGACTCTTCACACACACATTCAACAAGACATCACTATATACACAACAAGGCTAATGTCAGGAGACAACTTTAAATACGATTCTCATGTGGGAAAGTCTTTGTCTACGTAACTTAGCCCCAGGGTAAAAGTCCAGACTTACCGCGTTGACTCCTTGACATACGGAAATCATAGTTCTCAGTAAGTCTCGACTTCTCTTACCCTAAGACAACAAGACCTTCATACAACAACGAAACGATACAAATCAATTGCAATGTGTTATTTACTGAATATGTATATAAATCGGATTTATTACCGAAAATGTAAATATAATTTATTCATAATGGTATTTATGAAAGGTATACGTGAAAACTAACAAAGATTTTTTGTAGTGTTTCTGGATTTTACGATTTGTATTTATTTTTGGATTTGTTGTCATTACAGTAATAAAAAGAACATATATTCTGATACAACAATTTTACAAAGCTTCAGATGAATACAGGTAGGCACAAATAAGACATAGACAACACAAGACAACACATCTCCCAAATAAAAATCTACCGTTTCCTTCTATATTATATTTGTGTCAAACTTGACAATATTTTACAGCATAGAAAATTATGTGACTTAAGAAGATAGTGCTGAGTATTGACTCTATGGATACGTTTTTTTATAACAAAACTTCTGTTGAAGTATACGTTTGCAAGCCACAGTAAAATTTTAAACACCCATAGATTATTTCAGTCACAGACGAGGCAAAGAGCCGGAAAGACTTGGAGCTAGGTGAAATACGAGGCTCAAGACCGAACGCGATGGAGACTCACTGTGGACGCCCTCTGCCCCAACTAGGGGTTATAGGACATTAAGTCAAGTAAGTCATGGATTATTATCTATGACAAACACCAATTGTGAACTAATTAAAACTTAGGTAGTTATATACATCTCATTATTATGTAAAACATTATGTTTTACATAAATTATTAATACAATATATATACAAAAAAATAAATAAAAAGATTACACTTACACACATAAAGTACTATTGAACATGAAAAAAATATCTACTGTAAGCTGTACGACGTTACCGCCACTGTAACATAAGTCACAGGTTATTCCAGTTTTCAATATTATAATATCTCTTACAACTAATAAGATTAAAAACGTAAACCATAGAGCAGACACTCAATTAAATTGCCTAATGTTTTGAATATTTAAATAAATCCTTGTATTTTGACGCCATTGTAGTATTGCCTAAATATACTTATTACAAATTAAAACGATATGCGGAATGTGGTCCTAATAGTGGTGACGTGAAAACACCAAATAACTAATTCCCCATTTATCATGAGTTTATTTTTGTATGTTGAAATAGATTACATTAGGTTATTAGTTAAATAAACAGATCGTTTCATTTAATTAATTCGCTGGCAATTTTCCGAAATCCAAAACACCCGTCATTGAACGCATAAGTAACATAATTATTGCTGTTCGAATACACGATATTATAAATTCTGCATATTACAAGTATTCAAATATTACTGTGATTATCTTAATTTTAGTTTAATTCACACAAGACATTATTATCCTATTGTTGTTGTTAATCTGTTTTAAATTGATTCACCACTCAAATAGGAAAAAAATTCAAATCTACATAATTTGAATTAACTTTAATCTCATGACTCTTACCGAAATGAGTAAGACTCATGAGTTATGCTTGGAAATCTCAATTTAAAAATAATAATATTGTTTTTTAATTTATTATAAAAATAAATTGTATAAGGTTTGATAAAATTCTCAGTTAAGTAGATTGGAACATATTTTTACACTGCTTTGCCTAAAGCACTTCTTACTTTCTAACAAATAGTGTTTACTTTGTGGTAAAAGAGACCGACAGGCATCATTTAAAAACTTATTTTAGTCAAAAAGCTTTTTGTGCGCTACTTCAAACTGTATTCGAAAGATTTAAATTTTTTATGTACAACATGTAAAACAGGCAAAGATTTTTAAGGATGTAGAACGAGCATTAATATAATATAATTGTCAATGTTTACTTTAACAAAATTGTAGATACAATGGTCGATCAATATCGGCAATTGTGTTTTTCTGATTACTTAATTTCTATTTCCAAAAAGTTAATTTACGAGTGCAAAACCAATAATAGTTTACAATTTCATAGCAAATTAGACACATATTGTTAACATTGTAAACTTAATTCGCTAAATTGAAATGTGATTAAATTATATGTTCACGCGAACCGCGATAACCTTTATACCGAATATATTCACAATAAATACTCGTACCTTTTTACGTTTGTCAGTGTAAGTAAGTTGTAAGTGTACGGGTGTAATTTTTATCTTCAAATAAAACCTTTTAAATAATCAATATCAATTAGAAAGACATCTTTAGTTGTATCCATAATCAAAGGGAGAATTCCGAGAAAGCAACTGAAGCTTGAAAAATGCCATTAAAATCCTATCTGATTTGATTAATTCTTGGTATTACTTAAGAAACATTTCATCTACAATACTCCAGATGAAATCGAAATGACTAATCAAATTTACTTAGATAAAGTAGCTCACAAGACAAATCATTACTGAAGAAGTTTTTCCAACGAGTTTCGTAATTCGAAAATTACAAGGTCACTACCGAGATTCTTAAATTATTTCTTTTTTGAAATCTATTACACACGAACTAGATAATTCACTGACTCTCATCATAATCTGTCCATAGATTCAGCAAAGCTTACGGTCGGTTTTCAGAATTTGTGGGTCGCTGCTTGCTCGGGTGGGGTTACATTCATGCCCATATTATCGTACGAGAAGTCAAGGGTGGTGTCTTCCGCCGGGTGTCTATTGCTCACCGCTGTACTCATGGTCTTCGGAGTCGTAGCACCCAGACTCTTATCGGTCTGAGTTCTAGCGTCCAAGTCTCTTACGTTCAAAGGTTGTCGTTTCGGAGGCTCAGGATTTCGTATTTCCAATTTCAAGTCTGGTTTCGGTTTCGGCATTTCTGCATGTGGATTATGGTGTGTTAAGTCAGTTGGGTATTGCTTGACGCGATTCTGAAAATAAAAGTCATACATTTGTGATGTTATTTACACTTTAATCTAGATATCACCTGAATAAAAGTTAATAAGATGAGTTAAATATAACTTTTATGCGTAGTTCGTCTTACCTTAGAAGGCTGTAGTTTTTGCTTTATGTGTCTCCACGAAAGACGACCTCGGCAAATTATAATAAGAACCAGCAGCAGCATAGCCAACGCGACACAGCTTACAATTAAAGCAGTTTGCGCCTGTCGTTGCACACCTAGGAAAATAAATTATATGATTATCTTATAAGTTAACATAAGATGCAAACCGTTACATTATAATAATAGCAAAATTAATATTTCCGTTTTAAACCTGGCGCCATCTTTGGGTTGGAAATAGAAGTTCTATGAAATGGGTCGTACGCCTTCAGTTCACGGTAGTTTAGTTACTTTACTAAAACCCATTGTCCTTTGATGGCTTTAGGTTTTTTGTAACAATAGTTTAAGAAAAAATACGCACATTATAAAAACATGCATTACAATAACTTTTGCATTATGCTAATTGTTTCAAAAAGTGTGTGTATTTCAATGCTATATACGAAAGAAATAGTGATGGAAAAATTTATCTAGAAATGTATAAGAACAAACTTGCTAAATAGTAGCAACAACCACAGATTCAAGATATTAACTCAAATCTCAGAAAGACGTTAGAAATTAATAAAAGAGAAGGTGAAATGGTAGAGAAATAGATAGAAATAGCCGGTCTAAATTATGATCTATATAAGAAACTAAAATTCGCTGTTGAACAAAGCAAGAAAAAAACATAAATTAAATTCGCAACATTCGTAAAAATAAATTCAACAAATCGCAACAACAGCAATCGCTAAACAATTGCGTGGCTTAACATAGTAACATAAAAATTGAAACCGGCTCATTGCCGGTAGACTATGTGATCAGTTTGATTACTACTACTGCCGAAAAGTTCAAAATGTTTCCTAATTGCCGTAATGTCAGGAGCTAAATACATTTCTGAGTCACATGCTATACACATTCTGTAGAATTTTAGTTCTATAACCCAAGATGCTGGTTTTCTGACGATATAATCCTCCACTCCAAAAACAAAAACCAAACCAAAACATCACTCACGCCCTCTTCGAGTATCGCATATATGCATCGCCATTTGATATTATTTTATGAATAGACTATAATTAATTTGAAGAACAATACATTTTCAGGGATTTAATTAAAACCATTCAAGTATCAGCAGTAATTATCAGTAAAACATATGACAAAGACCATCAAATGTCACCATTAATTAAAATCTTCCGAACATATAACACGAAAGTTATAATCAAATTGCTGCAAATTTTAGCAAATAAACCCTATATTCATTTACAAGCACAGTTGAAAATTATAATGTCTATCATAAATTTTAATGAGAATTAATACCAAATAGGGAAATGGAAGTGAGTTATTAAATAAAGATTTAAAAAAATATTTCCTATTTTCATGGTCTGTTCTCAAACGTGACAGTTTTTGGCGAATAAATTTGAAAGGAATTCTTGCAAACAAAGCCATGTAAATATGTATTTGTATAAATAATGTCAATATTGTTACCATTAGAACCAAAATACATAAACAGCTATATTAGAATTATTTTCTGCAGAATTCAAATTTTGCAGAAGTATGATAACAATTTTAAAATACATACCGTTCATGTCAGAAGGTGGAGAGGCAGTCTCACTCCGTCGCATGTACCGCAAATCCAGGAGGTATCCTTAAAAATCAACATATTTGTATTACTTTTAATTCATTAACTAATAATGTATACTTTTATACTCTAGCGCTTTGCAAAATGCAGCTTAATGCAATGCAGTAAAGTCTGTTAAATGATTACTATTTTATCTTATCTTAATTGTTTATGGCTCAGGTTGCTTAGTTAAACATGTTGCACGGATATTAGAGAGTAAACTGCCTCTTAAGCCTGTATCACGTTCCCGGGTTTGTCGGAAAAATAACAATCCGGACCGTTTTTTCGATGAGGCCAATTTAAGGTTTCGACCCCAAATTGTGTAAAAATAAATTCGATAAATGTTTATTATAAACAAGCTGCCCCCGCGAACTTCGTTTCGCCTTAATAGGATTTTTTTATTTAGTCTACCATTTAAGCAGGTACTAACTAGAGACTGTCCGCTTTTCCAGAATTAAAAACCTAAGTACTAAATAAAATTTGAATTTATTTTGTATTTTTCTCTTCATAAAAACCTTTGTCAGAGGAATATTAATGAATTCAAGGAATCAATTTAAAAAAAAACACGAATTGGTCCAGCCGTCTTCAAATTTAGCGTTCAGCATTATTTGAGATAACATATTTATTTCTATTAAATTTATATATTTATTGCACCGGGTAAGAGTGTAGAGCTGGAGAGATGATGATTTCAGGATGTGCGTTCAAATCACGATTTAACGTGTCTATGTGTGCATTTAACACATGCACACATTGCCTATTAGTAAAAAAAATAATGAAATAGACACAGAATCTAAGAGCCAAGCTAAGGGTTGTAGCGCCATGTTCTACAACCAGCTCTAAGGAACATTTGAAATCTGCCTTTAAACTTCAAGTAAGCTCAATTAGCAATAAATAATTATAATCTTTAGATAGTAAGATTTACATTAATACACGATAGCGTTACCCAACAGGTCGGTATGACATGTATAAATCATTAAAATTGAGTTGGCAAAGAAGTCTTATAAGAAATACTTTACCTGCTATTCGCTGTAATTTTTACGAAGCAACAACGTGCGAAGTATATTATAGGCTCTCTGTCCTTCAAAGTTTTATTTCTCAGAAAAATAACGGAAAAATAAATTGTGGGACTTCATTTTTTTTACATTATCGTCAAGCACTCGTTATATGACGTTGTTCCAAATAATTATGACAGTAATAATTGACACGGCTCAATAGAGTTCAGATGAAATCAATTTCGTCGTAATTGGGCGTAACGTACCGGATCGCATGTTTGACTTCACCTTACGTACAGGTGTTAATTGTTCATAGAATTAAAAAAAATATTATTAATTGATTCATTATAAGTTCATATATTACTTGTTGGCATAAGTTTATGTTTTCTGAGCTTACGTATCCATATATTATACCAGCTTACCAGGTATCTTATTAGAATTAATAAATGAATAATAGTGTTGATATATGAAATCAATTAAACTATTTATAAAAATATTATTATTACGCTATTATGTTTAAACTAGCGAGTTCAAACATATAGCGTACTTGAATGTAGCAATATTTTCTACGAATACAGTTTCATTGTGCCAAACCCACACAACAAAAGAACTGCTTATATGTATCATGTGCATGTGCGAGTAAAAACCTGCCCCCAGCAGACCATGACGGCCACAGGTACTCTGAACCCTTACCAATGAGCCGTTTCTGTCGGTACGCTTACCTTGCATTCTTTGATTTTATTCGTTTTTCATCGCTGTTCTACAACGTTACACAGCCAGAGATAGCAAAATTGGCACCTATTAATCTTGGTTTCTACACTCTCACTTTTAAACCACTACTACTATTTGATACTATTTGATGCAATAGTAAAATATTTTAAAAACTAAAGTACCTAAGTTAATCATAGATTTAAATGTGTATTTTAAATTTAGAATTTAACATTAATTATATACTTATCTAAATTTTCGAAAGAGCTATAACAAATTTCATGCCTCCAAAACTCATTTAAAACGAATTCCCCGCCAAGGTATTTAATAATAAATATTTCAGAGACTAAAAATTCTTTGAAAATTGAAAAATAATTCCGTTAAAATCACGTTGCCGTCTTAACCTTTAAATGTGTTTTAGTAAATATGAAGGACTTTTTAAGGTTAGCGAATTGAGCAAATATGAAAAAATTCATAAATGTTTAATTTTGTAAATAAGCCTTAGAAATTAATATCGTACGTTAAAATTGGAATTCAACGAGAAAATAACTTGAAGTATTTGACCTGAAATGCATTCCTACTTGAGAACGAAAGAGATGTGAATATTATTAGAATGAGACAAATTCAACGTAGGCGGCATGCGAGGCTTGTGGTCACAGAACCTGTTACTGATTAAATAGAAAAGATAAATACAACCTTAAGTTATAAAGGATTAAGTCCATTATGGCGTGTCTATCGCAACTATTTATTAATATTAATGTAGATAAATATTAGTCATCCTTTTACCTCCTAGCTTAAATATCCGGTCCTTTCGTGAAAAGTCGTTAAGTCTTCTTCGCGTAACGTAATTAACATTATGCGAACTACATATGTATCTTTAGGTTCTATTGTAAAAATCTTAAAAATATTGTTAGCCGTTCTCTCGAGTTGATAGAGTACTCAGTATATTATATGTATGCTCTCGTTTTCTATAAAACAAACGTTATTCGTTTCTTGAATCTTGAATCGCCAAACACATATTTCAACTGATGTCAAAAAAATTAACAGTTTTTTTATTTAAGTATTCTTTCTTTCTATGAACAGATCTCAATTATTAAGCTGTTAAATGCTCATAATATTTATTATAATATTAAGTATCACTTTTAAAAATGTCTGTGACATCGTATCATATGTCATCTATAAAGAAACCATAGAGAACAGCTAAATAATAACATGTCTAACTTATTCATTTAACATTAAACTCCCTCCTAGTTTAATAAACATAATAATAACAATAAAAATTCAAACTTCGTCTAAACTTGCGAGAATCAGTGTTATATCGTAAATTTATATCGATTTTTTTAAAGCTTGCTACGCTTGCAATGTGATACATACAATTTTTTAACGTTTTTTAATTAAATACCAATTAATCTATTTAACCATACCTTGACATTCCTTGATGCAAAGTCCAGAGTCGAAGTTGTGGTGCGTTTTGTTGCAAACAATGGCGCATGGTGCACATCTATTGGTTTCCGGTGAGCAATATTCGTCAAACTGACAAGTGAGCTGCCCGCAACGGATGCCATCAAGCGTGAGTTGCGCTGACGCTGCACCAGCCATCGCGAGCATGCAAGCCAATTGTGCCATTTTAACACTGAAAACCAATGCTCTATTTACTGTCGTTATTTGTTTTATTTGAGTCTGGAATGAGATGTATAGGACGACAAAATAAAAGCCCGACAGATAACGTTATATAACTAGCGGGGAAAACTGGATGAATGTTGATGTTGTTGTTGAAGACAAAAAGAAATGGAAAAACATGGAGGAGGCTTTTACCCTAAAAGGGGTACAAAACTTAACCACTAAAAATCTACCTTAAAACTTTTAGAACTTATACTACTTCTACTACTACTAACATAACTAATACTCATGTAAGAATGTAATCTACCCAATTGTTGTATAGATTTATTGATAAAGCTTAAATAATATTAATAACATTGTGTTTTATTAGACCCAATAAATAAATAATGTTACTCGAAATGTGAAAAATAGGAAAGACGGACGAAAGGAATGGACTGCAATTTTGTTCACCGAATTTTCCTAATATATATATATATATATTAATCATATAGGTAACATAATAATAAACTTCACAAAAAAAACAAATGATTTTAATTTCACATGTAGACATGTTTCTCAAGTCAAGAGTGTAGAACGGATTAAAATAATTGACAAGAAATTCTCCGACAAGTTTTATGATTTACAAGATCCTTGTACGAAGCGGACCATGCGGACGATAGTGTAATGGTTGCATTACGCATCCCATATATATTGCTGTGAGAAATTTTGTCTTAAAAAACAAACAAGTCAATATATAATCGAAGTATGTAGCATACTATCCACGGAGGTAGTTATCGCTCTCTTAGTCCACTCAATATTGAATGAAACTCCGTATTTCCCTAGGGTAAAGCTGATGTTTCACGTCTTTGTTTTAATCATCGCAAAGGCGTATGAACTCACAAGAGTACACCACCGGACACACGCTACCAATAATTATTATTTTTATTTGATTTTCTATTTCTAAAAGTTTCCTAGACTCTAACTAAAAAAAAACAAAGAAAATTAACTAAAAAATAAGGCTAAAACAAACGATTCCCAGCTCTGAGGCCAAGTGCCAGTCTGGTCGTGAAGAATCAGCCACGTCTTAGACCCGAGAATCTGAATCAGGTTTAGAACCTATCTATAAAAAGAAAAATTCAAAGAAGCAGTAGCAATCTGTGACCCCAAAAGATTGCAACGCCACTGGATCATAAGTACCTGTAGTGTTTTAGAGCAAGTGAACACGTGTTAGAATTATAAAACATAATATGTTTATATATTATATATTTTAAGGCACGCATGTTAGAATGAAAATATACATAATCTTTTAAAAAATTTTTTTTTTCATAATCAATACCTATACCAATACCTCGAATCACTTTTCGTTCTATTTGTACGCATTAGTTTATATACTGTAAATTCATTTATAATTATAGTATTGATTGCTTTGAGCTAATTTATCGTATAAAAAGTGTTAAAACCGTAGCTCTACGTAGTCTATAGTAAATCTAAGTACCCCGTCTAGGTTGAAATAAAACCCCCAACGATCGTGACTACTCGTGTTTTTACGGGCTTGAACATTTTCTTGGGTTTCACTCTGCAACACTGCTTAATTCCAGGAATTAGTATACTTTGAATTTTATAGTATCCAGATTTTTTCGAAGTAATTTATAAATATTTTTTCACAAGACTATGCCCATGTTACATAATTTGGTTTTGGAGTTGTGTACATCTGTATAACTGGTAGTAGCCAAAATACTAACTTGTTTTATAAGTAATTTACAAGACTCGCGTAATAAGTTGAACTAACTAAAACATTGGGTAATTAAATATGTCCAAAAAATAATTAAATTAAAAAAAGCCTAGCTCAAATAGTCTAGAACTAATTAGCTTAATATATATTTAAAGCCTTATTTTAATACTTCACGGACCTGTCAGCTTGTTTGACTAAGCGCCATGTCACTACACAGTATGAGTCATGCTTGAAGTAACAAGCAGAGATCACAGGTAGACGCAGGGAATGGCGAGGTATTTTTTTCAAAATAGAGGCGACAGGTTCATATTTGTCTTACAACAAAGGGGTCCCTCGTCCCGAAACTTTCTCACCGTTCCTTTTATGACGACACACCCAACTTTTGAAAATAGAATACGCTTTGTCAAATGACGTAATTGTAATAAAGTAATAAATTGCTATTCGTAAAAAATATTTAATAGGAACTGGAGAGCAAATGTTTTTGTCTTTTGATGACTCATGTTTGGCTAACAGCAAACGTGGAATTTTAAGATTTTACGCACGAACACTAGCGTAGTGATAATATATTATAATAGATTTTTTTAGATTTGAAAAATATATGACGTTGCATAGGTTAATTGGAAATTTGTTTAAATATAATCTACTCTTTGGAGGTTAAATTTACTCAAGGCTACTTACCAAGTACAAATTTCCTGATAAAACCGCTTTTGATGATGGCACTTAACAAACGTATTTAAAAAACACAATATTTTTCACGGAGGAAACATTAATTCGAACGAAATAATATTCTTAATCATAATTGAAAGCTGGAGCATAGCGCTAGGATCTTTTGTAGGTTCAACTGGTTGCCTAGCGACGGATTCAACTAAACTATAAAATCGTAATAATAACGCTTATCGGATTTATTCAAATGTATTTCTCTCTTTCTCTTTTAAGTTTCATTTTTAAACCTTATCTTCTATTATAAGCATTAAGTAATTTTATATTATATAAATTTAGGAAATTGGAATAGGTTCGTGTTCTAATTGAAAGCTAATGAGGTATTTCACAGCCCTATGCGTTCTTTGTAGGAAGGGGATTGAGCTTGTTCCCATAGCGGGGTAATTCGTGGCTTGGTCGCGCCGATCTTTAAAAGAATCGATTTAGTATAGGTAACACAATGTTGATGTAGAACGTCTATAACAAAAATCAGATAAATTCATATATTATTGTGAAGTAGGAACGGTCTGAAAGTAGAACAAGACAGGAAATGATAAAAGTTTCTCGTTTCGGAGGGCAAGACATATTTTGAAGTGCATTTAGAAATTCGAAATAACTAAACGTACGACACTGATCTTAAAGACACGAATGACACGCATTTACCTCAAATACATGTTAGTATAACCATATAGACCTTGAATAAAGGCGACAATTAACATGCATGATGCAATATAAATACCTTTTTTTTTTTTTCGTGGGGATATGCGTTACGCATACCCTCCCGCGGCATGGTTGACCTGGGGAAGGGTGATGTGGGTCTCGCTGTTGTGCATACCCACTAAAACCCCACGGCGCCACCAGCAATCGCCCGGGGCAGGACACGGTAACAGCGTAGCCTTGTCCGCATCCAGCCACGCGATCAACCGTTAATATTACGGTCCTCTACGGCCACGAATGATGTGGAATGGACCTTGGCACAGCAAGGGCCTTTCACATCGGCCAATTCATCCTGTTTTATAGAGCTGGGGGAGGCCGGGTACAATGCTTGCAGGGATGCGTCAGCATCCCTTCTTTTGGAGGCATGAGCCCCTGTTCCCCCGCTGGAGCAACTGGGTGCCCAGGATTACACACAGGGTTGCACGGTGCAATGGCGACGCTGTGGTCTCCTACGGCGACGCGGGTGGGCTGCAGGATCCTCCTCCCTGGCCCTCTCCGCCTCTTTCTTATGGTGCATGACGGCTTCACAGAATCTCTTTTTTTAAAGAAGATTTCCCACATGCCGTCACTGTCCGAGCTTGTAACTGCTACTCTCACAATGTTATCGAGAGTAGCGTCCGCGCCCTGTAGCACGCCCAGTAGAGGCCTCCTTTCCACCTCCCATGCTAGGCAATCCTTTAAGGTGTGGAGCGCGTCATCAACAACGCCAGCGTCGCAATGGTGGCAGGTTGGTGCCTCCTCACGCCCGACTACCTTGGGCAAATAGCTGCCGAAACAGCCATGTCCGGACAGTATCTGCACGAGTCGGTAGCTGAGGCGGCCCCACCGCCTCCTCACCCATTTGTCGAGATGTGGTCCGAACGCGTTGATGGTGTAGAACCCAGCGCTCGCACTAACCAGATCCTCCGCCCACTGTCTTATTGCTTCGTTTTCTTCGGAAATTTTCCACGCCTTGATTGCTCCGAACGCAGGGTCATTACCATTGTGCCTGGCTTCGGCCCTCCTCCAATAAACTTCACTCAGGGCATCCGCTTAGAGGTGCCAGGGTGTGGTGCCGGCTATAACACACGCTGCGTCATACGAAACCATGCGGTACGCCCTCGCGACCCTAATTGCGATTACTCTCTGCGACTGCCTGAGGATTGGTTTTCTTGTACCGGTTCAGCTTATCCGCCCATATTGGGCACCCGTACAATGCCTTCGCTCGCACTACATTAGCGTAAAGACGGCGACACTCCCCACCCGGCCCGCCGAGGTTTGGCATTATGCGTGAGAGCATACCTGCTGTGGTAGTAAGCTTGGGGGCAAGTCTCGCGAAGTGTGCCTTGAACGTCCACCGCGGATCCAGGACCAGCCCAAGGTATTTGAGTGTGGAGCCGATCAGGATAGATACTCCGCCGACTATGAAGCTTTCACCTTGTGGTGGCGCCCTGCGGTGGCCGTGGAAACATATCGCCTCCGATTTCAGTCCAGTCTTCCATGCCAAAGGGAAATTGCCTTTTCGCAAGCATTCTGTGAGGAGGCATTGATATCGCAGGCCAAGACCAGCGGTGAGGGCAAGAGCCAGGATTCGCCCGTGCACGCCATCAGGACCCGGCGCGGTTTTCTTTGTGGACATCCGCTCTATATGCAATATAAATACCTAGATTAGGAAGGCCTAACATATTTCAATTAAGGTATGGTTAATGTACCAAGCAGGTGTGACGTTCAAAGTGTTGTTATAAGTGATATTGGGTTTTTGTTGCCACTTATCACAGACTTTGCATATTGTGTATATAATTTTTTAGATAAGATTATGGGATTTCTTACTATCGTCTCAAAGTATTTGAATTTCTTACAGATTTTAACACATACTGTGAAACGTTGACATACACTTTTC